TGAGAGGTCCCTCACAGCTGACTTTCCCAATGCAATTCGTCTCCTGATTTCCTGGCTGCTGTTACCAAGAGTGTTGACTGTGGAGCCAAGTAAATGAAAACTGTTAACTATCTCAATCTCTTCACCATCCATACTGATGCTGCCAACAGGCCCAGTAGTGAGAATCTTTGTTTTCTTGATATTGAGCTTCAAACCATATTGAAAACTGCAGTCCTTGGCCTTCTGCAGCAAGCGCTTCAGGTCCTCCTCAGTTTCAGCGAGCAGGCTTGTGTCATCTGTATAATGCAGGTGGTTGATGATTCTTCCACCAATCCTGATGCCACATTCCTCCTCATACAGCCCAGCGTCTTGGATGATCTGTTCTGCATACAGATTGAAAAGGTATGGAGACAAAATACATCCCTGACGAACCCCTTTCTTGATTTTGCACCATCCTGTGTCTCCCTGCTCTCTTCTGACGATTGCCTCTTGGTCCAAGAATAGGTTTCGCATTAGCACAATCAAATGTTCTGGGATTCCCATTCTTCCCAGAGCCAGCATGGCTTCTTGTGATCTACACAGTCAAAAGCCTTTGCATAGTCAATGAAGCACAGATAGACATTCTTCAGGTATTCTCTACTTTCTGGTTAAATCAGCTGCAAATGATCTCTTTATCCACAAGCAAGGGTTTCTCTATGATGACTAAGCTGTGCCTAACCCAAACTGGATGTTTTCAATTGCTTCATATACGTGCAAAAGCTGAATAATGATTAAGGAAAGTAAAGGAGGAAATTGATGCTTTGGAGTTAGTGTTGCTAGGGCTAGTAAACATTCCATTGATTGTCAGAAGATCAAACCTATCTTGAATGAAATACAGCTAAGATGCTATACATGGCTATATAGTTCCTACATATGTTCCTAAAAATAAGTAATAGTGAAATTTTGTCTTATGAACTTAGGACAACTTATCAGAGAGGCTCAGCCCCAAGAGATGGCCATCATACTTGGTGGGGTCAGTGAAATCTCCATGAGATGTTGTTTTATACCATTAAGTCAGGGCTGACTCATAGCTGACCTTCCGCCAGGTTTTCAGGAGTTTTAAATCTCTTGGGAGGAAGAA